ACCATCATTCCCGATCACCATACCATACACCATACATTCTTTCAGAAAAATTAAACTCCAATATTACCAAAAAAAAAGCGAAATCGACAAAAAAATTTTTAAATTATTCTCTATATTCATTTTTAAAAGAATCAAAAATAGTTCTGATGGCAGAATTCGTACATTTTAAGTACGAAGCGATGTAAATAATTTGTACTGCATACACAAATTAGTACTGTACAAAAATTTACCGTATTCTCTATATTGAAAAGCTCATAATTTTACCAATATTTTAATTTTTCTTTTGATTTGTGTCGTCCATAATCAAGTCTTGACATATGAAATTCAAATAATATATTTCTACTAGCTGCATATTAAAAATAAGCTCTAAAACATGTTGTTGCCTGTCTGCAACATTGGGCCACAAAGGGTTAAATTAAGGTAGTTTTTAATGTGTGTTTAGTATATTATTCACAAGTAAGCAAGCCACTTTTTTATATTTTTTTACATTTTATGTTTGTTAGCACTTAGATTGCCGTGAGATTAATTTTGATATTTATTTTATATTTTTCCCTAAAGATGGAATTCATTGAATTTCGATATATTGGAAACAAAAAAATAGTTTGACTTCAAGCTCGAATATCTCTAATTTATTTCTGATTCAACTACTTAATTAAGAGCATTATATTGATTTTTAACAAAAATATTAAATATCTACAAATTAATCTGTCCTCATGCTATAAAATTGGATATCTGTCCAAAGTTTTGCCAAAGAATTTAAAAAAAGTGCTTAACATTTTATGAGACATTAGTACAATTGGTTATAATTTGATGTTTTGGATTCTCATTTGGTAAAAAATAGGTATGTTTCTGGTAGACGTTAAAGAACGGAATTTTGGGGACGTCGGGCACGAATTTTCATAAATTTGATAATTTGGTGTCAAATTATCCTTAAAAATCGATTTCGTAAATTTTATAAACGCAACCCATTTTCGGTGCTCCGAAATGGCTATAATTTGGCGTTCTGGATTCCCAGTGCTCAAAATACTCCTTTCCAGGACGTTTCCGATATAGGTTGATGATTTTTACATCGCTCCCATTCATAAGTCCTCTAACTTTGGTAGAAGTATCCGACCATTTCGTGAGAAAATTTGAATACACTCCACAGGGTATAAAAAATTTTGACCGGACGAACTTTACTTCTTTACTTTTTTAACATTGGAAAATTCCAGATAAAAATACAAGTACTAAAAAAGGTGCTAAGTGCTAGACGACTTTTGTTAGTGCTAATCGAATTTGAAAAATGCTAAATCTAGCACTAAAAATGCCAAAGCGTGTACTGATACTAATAACGCATGGTAGAATATAAAATCCTCAAACTAGATTACATAGTTTAGGAATTAGCGAATGTTTGGGGTTATAATTATTTGAGGGATATGCCTAATTAATGACCGACATATGTCAATTTCGAACCCAATGTTTTTGTTTTGTGTCTCAATACTTTCCTTCAGGAGGTGTAATTATATGGGGGAGATGCCTAAATGCTGGCCGATATATTTCATTATCGTCAGGATCGAGTTTTTTTATAACCATTTCCTTAGAAAGCGGAATGATTACAAATCGTCTTAGTATTCCATAATTTGTAGGGTGGAACTGACTATTTCGGGGGTACCCGAAAAAATTGGCCTATATTTATAATTTTCAGTGAAGAAATTTACTACCCAATAAGAACCCGTTGTACCAAATTTCAGCTAATTCAATTTAAAACGCGCTTAAAAGCCTCAAAATACCGTAAATTGGGGGTACCGTTATATGGGGGCTACCAGAAAAAGTGGACGGATATTTATATTTCTAGTGGAGACATTTGGTACCCAAAAATAACCCAATGTACCAAATTTCGGTTGAAAAACGCACCCAAAATACTGATAATTGGGGAACCCTTATATAGGGGCTCCTCGAAATAATGGACCTATATTTATAATTTTTAGTGGAGGAGTTTGGTACCAAATTAAAACCCATTGTACCACATTTCTGCAAATTCGTTTTAAAAACGCGTTTAGAGCCCCCGTAAATTGGGGGTACCGTTATATAGGCGCTGCCAGAAAAAGTAGACCGGTATTTATAATTTTTAGTGGAAACATTTGTTACCCAAAAAGAACCCCATGTACCAAATTTCAGCGAATTCGGATGAAAGCGCGCTTAAGAACCCCAAAATATCGAAAATTAGGCGGTACCCTTATGTGAGAGCTATGCCTTAACTTAGACCGATATAGCCCATCTTCGAACTTGACATGCGTGCAGACATTAGACGACTCTATGCAATTTTTTTTGGCGATCTATCTCAATTCCTTCAGAAGATTACACCAGACTGATAGATGGACGGACATGGCTTGATCGTCTTAGAATTTTACCCTGACCAGTAATTTATGTATATACTTTATAGGGTCGGAAATGAATATTTCGATGAGTTACAAACGGAGTGACAAAATTAATGTACCCTCCGTACTATGGTGGAGGGTATAAAAACAGAGCCTTAGAATATCGTGATAAAAAACTGGAACCTGACGATAATCGGCCAGTATTTTGGCATCTCCCCCATGTAATTATACCTCCTGAAGGAAAGAATTGAGACAGAAAACAAAAATATTGGGTTGGCATATGTCGGTCATTAATTAGGCATAGCCCTCATATAATTATAACCCCAATATTCGCTAATTCCTACAATATGCAATCTAACTTGCAGTACTTTGAGGATTGTATATCCTACCATGCGTTATTAGTATCAGTCCACGCTTTAGGATTTTCTTTAAAAATTGTATGTAGTGTACATAATGGTTTACATAAATCGGTTTGAAGAATTATCGGTATAGGTTCACTTTCACTTTTCATTTCAAGTATCTGTCAGTATACCTATGGTGGAGGGTATCCAAACTTCGGCCCGGCCGAACTTGAAGCTTTTTTTTATTTAGTATCGGTTTAGTTTGTGTATAGTATCGGATACGAGTAGAACTGGAAAAAATTTTATACAAATTAGCTTGGAGTTATTTTAATATTTTGGAATATAAGTAGTATTGCCGGTTTATTTGGGATACCATTTGTATTTTGTGTTTGCAAAATAGTCAGACTGAATCCAAGTTGGTCTTTTTTTAAAAAACAACTGTTTATTTGTGGGGAATGTATTGCAATTGTCCGCCGAGTATTGCATTGTTTGACTTTGTATGCCTGTCGTGGCTCAGGACTCTACGAACGATTCTATGTAACATCCGGATTTCGTGATAAACGACAATATATTGTACAGCGTCACATGCTCCTGCAGCAACGCAAACGTAAAGTGGAATAAACTATAATAAACCATAATTATATATATAATAAATAATGTAGGAAAATAATAACTTACCGCTGGTTTTTGTTAATACTTTGTAAATATGTTATGCAATGTATCCGATAACAGTAGAAGATATTTGTCGAATTTCGTGCCCACAATTGCGGTGATGGCAATAAAAATATATTAATATTGTTGTGCTAGATTTTCTGTAATAGGGTGTTGAAATATTAATATGCTACAATTGCGGTGATGGCAATAAAAATATATTAATATTGTTGTGCTAGATTTTCTGTAATAGGGTGTTGAAATATTAATATGCTACTGTGTATTTTATTGTTTTCGTTGCTATTTTAAATTTTGATATTGGTACACCCTATAGCACGTCATATCGGCACAACAAACAAATTAAAATAATTTCATAATTTTATTTATTTTTGCATCTTTTCAGAATTTTTTGTTCTTCTTCTTGTGATATCGTTCACAATTTCGCATTAGCCCCCAATAGATATTGACGTTTTCAATGGAATTTTTTCTACTTGGCCAACCTTTCGGGACTTGTTTAGCGCCATATTTATAAATAATTCCAAGTTGTCTGATGTTCAACTTTTGTTCTATTTGCGGCATAAGACAAGTGAAACTCGGGAAATAGTTTCGCAATTTGGTTTCGTTATTGCTTGGAAAACACTCAACGTAAATCGTCAGTTGTCATTATTTAATCTTCCACTTCTCGATAAAGAAACTATCTATGTATTGAAAGATATGCCACGCGGCATTAATGTTGATGTATTTTTATTGTTGACGTATAATGTACTAAGGGATAAATGGGATCCGATTTTGGTTTTCGTTTGTCAGTAACATTTGCCCTGGATTACTCAAGCTTTATGGAAAGGAAGTGTTAAAAACAAATCGGTTCTTTCACTCTTGTATTTTTCGAATATTACGGAGACACATACATTGCTTTCCATAAATGTAAATCTCTAAATGCAGCTAGGCAATCCGTTTCGCCTTCCCCTTCAGTTACAAAACCGTGTTCTCATGTCGTGAGAAACACCACCGCCTTCATTTGTGCCATAAATTCAATGAATTGTCTCCAGCAAATAGATTTGCATTTGAAAACCGACTAAATCGTTGTCTAAATTGTTTGTCAATGGGGCATATTAAAATAACTTGTGCAAAATGTGATCAACGTCACCACACCTTATTATATCGCGAGTATCATTTAATTAAGATTTTGGAGTTTGTTCTGTCTGAGTTTATAAGTTCCTTTTTGTTGAACAGTATTTATATTGTAGTTTATTTCTCCAATTCGATTATTTTTTTAACATGTGTTTTAATTCAATTATAATATATTAGTTCCTACTCCTTAGTTGTACATATCTATAACACTGTTAGATGTGTGTTTTCTTGGTTTCTGAATATAGTGCAAATCACCATATAATTCTCTTTGCACACATATATTTTGATATATGGAGCGAAATCTTGAGCGAAAACAAGATTCTGATAGCTTGGAAAAGTACCTCCACTGAAATGGATAGGAGATGCTTACTCAGATTTACTGACCACTTACCACTGCATGCAATGAGTCGCAAAAAATAAACATGTACAGTTGTTTTATTTTGCTACAATGATCTATGTTATATTTATATTGCCAAACGGCAAAATCTCACTTCTTCAAAACATACGAATCGATGTTTATATATTTCTACTAGTTCTCATAATTTGGGGCAGGCGATTTCGTTTTACTATAGTCTCGAATAGGCGAATAGAACTGGAAAAGAATTTATACAAATTAGCTTGGTTTTTTTTTTAATATTTTGGATTACTTTATATTGTTTGTCTTTGTATTCCTGCCATGGCTCAGGATTCGACGAACGATTCCATGTCACATCCGGATTTCGTGTTGCTAAACGAAGAATATAATAAACAGCGCCACATGCTCCTGCAGCAACGCAAACGTAAAGTGGAATAAGCTATAATAAACGATAATTATATATTTAATAAATAATATAGAAACTGAATAATATACCGCTGGATTTTTTTTAATACTTTGCAAACCAAGTCCTTGCATCACTACGAAATATGTTATGCAATGTATTCTATAACAATATAAGATATTTGTTGGATTTCGTACCCACAATTGCGACGATGTCAATATATATATATATATATATATATATCCTTAATTAAAAACGTATGTCGCCAGCCAAATCTATATATTTATATATTTATACAGTGGCGGTCACATAATTACCTGCAGTAAACATTTGTTGATTTCAAAACCCTTGCATATACCTTTCTAACGAGATTGAATGAGAATATAGAGGTATGTATTTTTACCCTAATTATGGAGATATATTTTTTCTTGGGGGACGGTTATTTGACCCGGAAAGTCGAGTACGGATATTTACCCGCAAATGGATATTTACCTGGTTTTTGTCCACCCTTGGGTGGGAGGTATTTACCCGGTAAATGCCACCTCTATCCATTCCGAATCAGAGTATTGGGTGCTTGTTAGTTGGTTTCACTACTCCCAAGTTAACTATAACATAATGTTACTCACTGTTAATAACTAGGTCAGCGTTAACATAACAGATATTGGGGTACAATTCTCTTCATTTATATCACATCCAGAGAGTGTCGGTGGAATTATCATCAATATTGAGTGTTTGTTCAAGAGAATATAAAAGCAGTAAGCTCTGCAAAAGATCTTTTGGCGGCAGCGGCGAGAAGAGAAAACGTAAGTAGACGTTTCATTAAAAGTCATAGCCCATATCTAACTTTGCATACACTATTAACGTAATAATAATGGTAATAATAATTTACGATATTTTTTCATGGACACTCATTATTCTTATTGGTGATTTAAAATAAGAGTGTATATATTTGATAATTTGTCCAAATCTTTTTTGACGTTGCACTTATCAATTCTATTTAATACCTAAGTTTTTGCATCTTTTTCTTTATATTCATATATGGGCAATATTGCCAATTTTTTAACATAGCTGAAGCCGAGGGAATTACTTAAGTATATCAAAAAAGTGAATAGTTTTGGGTTAATTAATCTGTCCTTGCAAACTTTTCATGATTTTGACCTCCAAACTTTATTTGGGTGGAAGCTGTGTCTACTTTAATGTAAATAAATGTGTGAAAACAGGTTGATTTGTGACTAAGCTACTCATTTTACGGTTTTCGTGTCAAATAAAAACTAGAAGCCAACAAAATATGGACTACGTCTCTTATGTACCATTTTTCAAAATTTTAACTGAATCTACCTTTAAATGATGCTGAAATTTTGAAGCTCGATTTTGAGTGTTTTTTTTTTTAACTTTACTTCTCGCTTTAATACGCAAACAGGAATTTCTAAAAATTGATTATAAGATTATTGTAGTCGCGAATATGTGTAATTTGATATTTTGTGTATGTTGTATGCACAGCATAAGAGTAGTACTCACCCAAAGGTGAAAATTGTGTGCGATTAAATTTCTAAAAAACCTATTTTTGGGGTCAAATTTTTATATCTGTCAACTGAATGATATGGATACCCGCGATCAGAATGGTTTTGTTTACGTTTCGGATGATATAAAATCATCTACTAGAACGACGGGAACTGGCCTTCCAAAAACACGAAATTGGGCAAAAATATTTTTTGAAAATATCGCTGAATTAATTGCATTTTCTGTTGATCATTTCCGCTTCAAAAAATACCTGATACGGATTTTGATCTTTTTCGAAAAGAGAACTTTTAAAACTGCAGTCGAAGGAGAGATGTACGCAAATTATCTCGAAAATAGTGTGAGATGGCACATCCATGGTGCCTTTATAGCTTGCTTGCTGTCCGTAATAATATTTACTGTATTTTGTCTTTGGTTTGAAATTAACCAGTTAAGACACTCTGTTATAGCTTGAACCTCCGACTGTAAGATCGTGCTGTAATCTGTAAGACGAAGAGAAATTTCGGTACCCTGTTCTTCGATAAAAAGTCCCAGTCCATTTTTTCCTCCTAGTCGATAGACATCCGTGTAGCAACAGCTACCAGGCGGCATCTGAACTAGTGTTGCGCGATTCCATTGTTCTCTATCTAGTATTATAGTTTCGCACCGTGTCACTACTCTTGTTTCAGGTATACGGTCTGAATCAAAGATATTGAATGTCGACTCATTTGTTTCCTGTAAAATGTTTTTGTGCGGTGTGTTGTGTCCGGTGTCTATCCACTCGTCCATTGCTTTAAGTCTAAAAGCTGCAACCGCCGCTTCATATTTTATTTGATTGTCTGTTGGATGTATATATAATATTGCCGCGAAAACCCTAGTTGGTGTTGTACGCATTGCTCCACATATTCCTAGGCAACACCTTCTTTGAACTTTCTGCAACGTTTTTACGTCACATATTTTATCCATTGCTGTCCACCAGACAACAGACGCGTATGTTAGAATTGGTCTAATAACGCTCTTATATATCCAATGTATCATCTTTGGATTGAAACCCCATTTAGAGCCTACGGCTCTTCTGCAGAAACCCCAGCATCTTTGGGCCTTGTCAGCCCTTTGCTGTATGTGGTCATTCCATTTAAGTTTCTTGTCTAGAATTACTCCCAGATACTTAACGTTGTTTGATATGGCTAAAGTTTTGTTTTGGAAGATGGGCTCTTCGTACTGACCTATTTTTGTCTTTCTAGTAAAAAGACATATCTCCGTTTTGTCCGTATTTACGTTTAAGCCCCTCGGTTTTGCCCAATTCGTATGCGATTTTTAGTACCGTTTCGTCTTTCCTGCATAGTAAGTTTGGATTCTTTCCCCTAAGAAGTATTATAACGTCGTCTGCATAACAGACTGGTTCAAATCCTTCGTCGGTTAAGTTCCTTAAGAGGCCGTTTATGGTGGTTACCAACAGGAGCGGTGACGGAATCCCTCCCTGTGGTGTTCCCTGACCTACTATGTCTCTGATTGTTATATCATGTATGCTACAGCTTATTCCTTAGCATATAGTTGACCCAGTCTATGATTGCCCGGTCCACTTGGAAGGTATCTAGGGATTGGATAAGCGTATTAGTGCTGACATTGTTGAAGGCTCCTTCAATGTAAATGCATACCGCTATGGTATACATCTTCTCAGCGAAGGTGCCCTCAATATAGTATACTGCCTCTTGTAAAGCGGTTTCCACTGATCTCCCCTTAATTTGCCTTGCCGGGCTTGGGTATGAAGACTACCCTGGCTTCCTGCCAGGCTTTCGGTGTGTACGTCAACCTGTCATGACATCGTCCATTGTCGATGTGTTCGATGGGAAGTGAGCATCGGCGAGTCGAATTGGAGGTACACTGAAGCCAGGTAAATGTTACCACTCCCCTGTTTCAGTACAGTGGCGTCCGATGTTGACAACTCTGGGGAGAAGAGAAAGCATAAATTTTTATGACATATTATACAGATTCTCGGACGAGACCCCGTATCTGCATAGAAGAGTTGGTAATTTATATGGCTTAATCCAGAGACCTTGTTTTTAATTGTCCAAGGTTCTGGGTCAGTCCGATGTGTATTTTACCTTTTATAATTTTTTCCATCAGGGCCAGGGTTGCGTCTCGCTCCGATAGAGGTTGATCTGGATGATTTTAATCAGTTGTCCTCCAGTAACCGGTTTTCTTGGGAGTCTGTGATATTCCCTCCTCTATGTTGCTGGGAATTATCCCCTCGCTACTTCATCGTCTCCAATCCTTGCCTTCACGATTTTGGAGTAAACGGCATTGGACACGTAGTACGCCTTGCCCTTGGAGAGGAGAGTCCCTTCCTCCTTCTCCTCCCTGTGGAAGACTTCCCATTTCTGCACGTGCAGTGTCTTGTATTGTAGGCTAAAGACCTTGAGCATGCGTTCCGTGTCGAAATCGTTGCCCCAACCTCTGACGAAGACTGTATCCTTTTGTAGTTGAGGAATGTCTTTTTTCCTCACCAGCTTGAACTTCATTGTCCCACCTATTGGTCCAATGCTTGCCACTATCTTTCTCAGTGCTTTTATGCTTATGGACTTCCAAATTCCAGCATTAGATTAGATCCCCTTTGAAATCGCAGCTATTCATTTCTATAAATTCTCCTCCTTGCTGTAGGTACTCCATTATCTTGGTATTGACCAGATTTAATACTTTTTTATGGGACTCCTTCTATAGCTTACCGGACGCGCTATTTCCGTCGATCACTGCATAGCAGAGCTCGTCTCGATGGCGCTTCCTGGCAACCTTGGCAGAAGACGGCGGCTCCTTGCCATCTGTTGCTGTCATTTTCCTCTTTCGCAACTTCCGGTTGGTCCTTTTGGGATTCCTGATATCAGAGCCAGCCTCGTCTGCCCTCGTCAGTGGATTCTCGTGACAGTCTCTTTTGACGTTGGTTTGGCTCAGCTTTCTCTTATTATTATTCAACGGGAAGTTCTTTTTCCTTTTGAGTTTCTGCCTGTATCTCGCTCTTTTTGTTTATCCGGTTCAATCTGGCCAACTTCCGCCTTTGTGCCCCAGACAACTGTTTCTTCTTAGTTGTGAGTTTGGCAATGTTTTTACTCACCTCCTCTATCAACTTGTGAGTCTCATCTTTCTTCCGGCTCTCCAAGACAGTTATGTTTGTCTGATTGTGATGATCAGACTCAGAGTTCGAAGTTGAGACCCCTCCTGTCTCTGAAGGCTGGGACGAGATTGCTCTTACCCTGTGGTTCCTCAACTTCGAGTTGGTGTAGACTACAGATGCCAAGACACCCACATATGTAGGAGATTGTTGCTCACGATCGCAGGATAACGACGGGGCGTGACTCGTGGGCAGATCAACGACACCCGCCGGTACTGAGTTATTTAGGTTCTGCACCGTAACGTTTATTCTTTAATGGACCTTAGCCGTCAAATGAAATTTCGCAAAATATACATGGATTGGAAGATAAACTTCAGTATTTCCTTGAAAACGCATGCACATCAAATGATTTTGAGAATTACGCGATTTAGACGCACTTTAAAGTGTATATTTAATAATATAGTTTTATTTTAAGATTTGTTCCTACTAATAGAACCCCAAGATTTATCGGAAATGTCTTGGTGTTACAATATCATAATCCAAAA